ATTTCCTTCATATGCTTCTTTCATTAGATTCGTTCTGTCCACTCATTTTCCCGGTTTAGTCTGTGTGCTCTTAATATCTCGCTTTCCAATGCTTTGATCGGTTCGAAAGGCTGCAGCTGAAACATCCAGAAGTGACACCATTCTGAGGTAAACTAAGGTTTCCTATTAGTAAAAGTGTGCCCCCGCTAACTGAACTCAACAGAGCTACAGCAGCCTAGGGGTGAACCTTCCGTAACAAAGATCAAAAGCTGTTTATTGATACCAAGAGACGACGTTCACGGGTTTATACAGTACTGGTGCCACGGTAAGGACAAGATACAGCCAAAGCGTCTAGTCACATCTCAACCACTGTGAACAAGTATCGTTCGCATGAACAATGCACCAATGGATATAATAACCATAGTGATAGACATCCAGACATGGTGTGTTTGTGCGAAACAGACAATGCGTTCCAACGGAATATTATTCCCACAGTAAGAATCACTGTATTTGTTGGTGTCAAAGTCGGAATAGTATTCCAACAGTTCAATAGTGCCTAAGCAACAGAACACGTATATATTTGAACATTCCATTTCTTGTCGTTTGTTGTAAACCAAAATCACACGCTCAGCGGCTGGTTAGGGAATATAAACCGTATAGAAACAAACAGCTGTTCGATCACTTGAAAATATACCTTTGCTTCCGTGTCTTGCCTTCTGTTGCTACAGTTGTGGCTTTAGAACACACACTATTCCAACCTTGAGGATCAGTCATCTGCTGCCTCCTGTGAACCAACGCAATACCCCCGAGTTTTATAGTTTCAAGTGTGCAACAAATAATTTATAGCTAATAGCACCTAAAATGAGCTCATTCGCTATTGACGTTAAAATGGGGAACCTCATAGTGGTGGCCAATCCTAACGTGATATCCCGGTGGCGTTATATGGACAATCTACGAGCAGAAAGGACTGACCAATGAATAAAAGTGACTTGAGATCATCTTTTCCTCCATCTTCGCAAGAGAATGCAGAATCTCAGTGCTCTTACTATGGCGTCAGTGTGCATGAACAGGCCGCAGTGAAACAGACAGGATGTTTGAAGCCATTTTATTAGTTATAGGAACTAACATTCATGTGTCCTCTTACTAGAACAATACATATCATTCAAAAAATAGTGCAAATCATTGAACCTGTCAACCAAACTATGGTGTCTGTCTCGTGTGAAGACTTCTTTCATTGTTTCAAAGGTTCAGACGGTTGGTTTCTTAGCACAGACTAACAGAGCAGTGTCAATTTATTGTTGCATAACGGAGCCATCATCAGAGCTGGGTGCTGATCTCAATTTTCACCTAGTTTTCTGCTGGTTACTGTACTCTACCGATAATCAACCATATCCTCAGACACTAATCAGATATGTACCATATCCGAGCATGGCTGCAAGCTGTTTTGTAGAAGTCAGTATTCTAACAAAAACAAAGTTCAGTAAAAACAGAAATGAGTCTAATGTGTCATTAAAAATGAATTCGGCCATACGATCACCAAAATGATAATTAACATTTGCAATATGTAATCTTAAGCACGCTGTTATCACTATCAAAACTATGCTATTTGTTATGAAAGTGTAATGTAATACGAGCAGGCTGCTTTTATTTCTGCAAAACTAGACATTAAAGGGGCAGAGAATGCAAGTGAAAAAGAGAGTCAACTTCAGGATGTGGTTGGATAGATGAGATCCATTGTAGTATACATCGGCACCCAAGTTAAATCATCATGGTTTCATTATAAGTGACATTCAAAGATCCGGCGAAGAAGAACATGCCGACTTGTAAAGTGTTTCTCAGGTCCTGTAGAAAAGGATTTGAGCTGACTTTTAAACTTCGAGTCGTCATAATGCATACTGATGTCCTACATATTACGCGGTGCCATTAATAAAGCATAGCACAACCTAATGGGCGTAACGCTTGATTCACTGCACACCAACGTACATAGAGAAAATGGAATATTCTTATAGGAAGGACTTGTTTGGCGGGTGTTTAAGATATGGATTTGAAGGTTACTAAAAGGTTTCTGTCCAAAGAGCTTACTTAGGCTTAACACTTAGCGACATTTTTCACGGGTGGAAACAAACATAGCTATAATAATAAAGCTTCATTTGAGACGTGCGAACACAAAACACAGAGATTTCTAGCTTATTTAATTCCAAAATGCGACAAACAGCGGGCAATGAGGAAACAGGCATAAAATGGACTCACACAGAAAACTTGGAGGATCTGGACTTCGCCGATGATATATGTCTGATTTCCCACAAACTGGAAGATATGCAAGTGAAAAGCAACAAGTTGGCAGAACAAGCATCAAAGATAAGAGGGACTTCAGGTGAACATAGAGAAAACAGAGGTGATGAAGATTCCTGGGCAACATCACCAACAGCAACAACAACAACAGACAACGATCAGCATAAATGGGAGGAACCTGAAAGAAACAACCTCTTTTACCTACCGACCTGGGAAGCACCGTTTCAACTACAGGCGGACGGAGCTGACGAGGATATCAAAGCAAGAATCGGAAGAGCAAGACAAGCTTTCACTACTCTCAAGTCTGTGTGGAGGTCAACAGCACTCAGCATGAAAAACAAGATCCAGATTTTCAACTCCAATGTGAAGTCAGTGCTACTATACGGATAAGAGACTTGGCGCGTCATAAAGAGGATCTCAAACAAACTACAGACCTTCATCAACAGCTGTTTTCGCTCAATACTTCACTCAAGATCAGATGGCCGGCCAGAAAAGATCAGCAATAGTGAGGGATCTCTGGGAGCGAACCAACCAGGAACCGATTGTGCAACAAATAGGCAGGAAGAAATGGAGATGGATTGGCCATACTCTGAGAAGACAAACCATCAAGTGACATCACTAGACAAGCCAACACTCGAGTGGAACCCGAAAGGGAAGCGGCGAGTTGGTCGTCGGTGCAAGGGTGACTTGGAGGAGGTGATCTGAAGAGGAGATGAAGACGTGTGGGCATACTTGGAGCCAGGTGTAGACTCTAGCAGAGAACCGAACGCAATGGAGACGCACGGCTGAAGCCCTATGTTCCTCTGGGAATTAAAGGAAACAATAATAATTCCAAAATATTTCTGCTTTAAACCGGATTTACATGTAAAGTAATAACCTGAAGTATATCATAGGACACAGTGCTGTTCCATATGAAGAAAGAAACAAATCAGTGAACTATTACTTCCTTTCCTTCAAGAATTGTACTGTTGCGTCGAAAGCCAATTAATTAGGTGCGCGGGTACATGTAGTGATCACTCTATATAATTGCACGATTAAAACCATAAGAATTATAGAAGGTCTTAGGTATTCGGGTGGGTGGAAACACTCGTAGCCCAGTAGTTTGAGCAGCGTCTAACCTACTGATGACATTTTGGTGTGGTTGTGTTCTCTGAGCTGGATGGTTTGGTTGAGAAGCTTTCATTGCTCTGATGAGCAACATCTTCAGCGAATACTTCGATGTGAATACACTGAATGCAAGACTTCAACAAGACACTTCTCTGAGCACTTGCAAACGACTCACATCAACTAGCAGTGCTTCTTGATCAAATGATCATTCTGATTAAAACACCAGACAGTCACTTAATTCCATTGGAGTCGAGCTGCTTATCAGTGGCTGGCTGGGATCGCGGTAGTTCGGCTCTGTGATCCAAATAGGACTGGACATGCTGCTGATGGGTTCAGGCCCAAAAGAGATAAAGGGCTGTCCATTGTTTGGGTAGTTTGGATAATTTGGTCAGCGAACACTACAAGTTGATCTGAGTGGTGTCCAACTATTCATGTCAATGAGTCAGCATACACAGCATTAGGTGAAATATATCATTTTTCTTCAGTAAGTCCATGGAGTCCTTAAGCCGACAAGGTTCAGATACCACCCTGATTCCAATCCAATTATGAATTCTACGCAAGATCCATGATTTTCTTTCATTCCATTTTTCTGATCGGAAATAGTAAGGTGTGAGTCTGACTGAAGGGCGTAATGGTGCAGCAGCTCATGACGAACACACAAAATCAAATACTCAGCAGGAACTATACACCTGTTTGAAATATCAGGTAGCATGGTAATATTTAGGGTTTTTCAGAGACAGTGCAAGCAGTAAATTGTGTTCCCAATGTCGACTGTAAACGGGAAGGAAATAAGGTAACTCAGCCTGATTCATTACAAATGTTGAGGGACTGTCAAGTGAATGCAGCTTATATCCCCATCAACAAACAGCACATCCTCACAATGATAAACTGATGTACCACATCTATTCGCATTCAACACAGCTACAGCAATGAAGGGAATAAGTCATATTGGATTCTACATTCTATTCCAAAGTGACAAGAAGCGGTTCTCAAATAGTCACATGGTTTATGCAAGCTCGCCAAAATAACATTGGATATTGGATGATTGCCGTCTCTGGAACGCTTTACCGGCGGCCGTAACTACAGCGCCATCTGTGGAGACTTTTAAGCGGAAGTTGGACAATCATGCAGAAATGCATTGTTTGTGTCTCAATGGCTCATCCTCTTAAAATTTGAAACCACAGTGTCAATGGATAAGCATACAAGCTAAATCCCCACGACCCGTCCTGTCTTCTCCCACGGTACCGACTACTCTATCCTTTCTTTCTTTCTTCATTATTTCACCTTTATTATTTCACTTATCTCAACCTATATCATCTACACTACAACCTATTATTATTCTATTTTTATGACTACACCGAATGACCAACGGGTGTTAGGTCAAACTCCATTCACGGCAGCAGTTGAGTCCTAACATACTGCACACTACAAACCACAATCATGACAAATCCTCGCACCACTCCTCTTGGAGTCTACCAGAACTAAAGCAGTCGAGTGGCGGGATTTACTACGCATAAGTTCATCGAAGATCTGGAACCTCTATCTTACAATCAAGAAGCGAGCTCAAAGAAATCACTGGTTTATACTAGCTCGTAATCAGGATATTGGATATTGGAGTGATTACCGCGTCTTACGAAAATGTCGCTAATATTGCGTATGTGACGGACTGAAGTCGTTCTCGTCCTTCTTAGTGCCCATTTCGAATTTCCGCATCTTTTTATCATTTTTTTATTAATATGTACATTGAGCGCCCTTATTGGCCAAGTTTAATTATAGCGACCAAAGCGGGAGGGCTCAGCAAGGATCTTACAAGTAGTTGATCTGATTAATCGGGATACCCTTTATTAGTTACTGTTACTTTTTGAAGATGGGATAGACTATTCAAAATGTTAAGTGGATGGTCTTCAAGCCTATTAGAAATTTTTTGGGACTGAGAATATTCGGCGACGTTAAAGTATCAAAGCCAAAGTCAAGGTTTTTCGAAGTTGACCTTCAAGAACGGATCAGACACAGGGGATGCAATGCAATGTCATTACAAATCAATTCATGCCTCGCTTTATGCACTTGGAGAGGGAAGATACAGTATTCTACTCATTTACTAGATACATTTTTCTTCAAATTTATACTGTTAGATAGGGTTATGACTTTTAAGATTTAGGTTTAGGATCTAGGATTGAAGTCAGGATTAGGGTTAAATTTAAAGTTAGGATTTATGATTATGGTTAGATTTAGGAGTAGGTTACAGAATAGTGTCAGAAATATCAATGGATCTCAAATTACCACAACCCATAAGTCATGCTACAGTCACCTTTATAAATGGATATGTCGCTCATGGTATGATCTCTTTATAGACCACCTGTGTGGTGAGTCGGAGACATTCTTACAATACATAAGCCACATCCGTACAGAGTATTCTCATATTTGCAATATTTTTTAGTGTATTTTTCAACGATTATGCGACAATTCTGCATCTGAATTTTGATTGGTTGTTCAGGGTCACTGTGGTTTTGGCTATGATAGTCTAACTTTGCCGAGAACGCCATGAAAACCTCCCGGAATACTTTTGTGTCTTAAGGGACCCTGGAGGCATATCAATGCATTTCTCTCAAATTTTCACATTAGGTTACAAAATTAAGTGTATGTGTATAATAGTAGTATGTTGTTATGCCTGATGGTTTGTCGTTCTGCGTATTTTTCCTGTTTTCTCTTCTAGATTACCATACTGCCTGAGTTAATTGACACCAGCTTTACCAAGTGTTTTAACGGCTGCACTTTAAACAAGAGGTAATCTGTTAGTGGACGGTGCACTGGTTTTAGTGGTTGGCCTTTCCTTTCTACACCGAGATTCAATGATCATTAAAGTTAGTTAGCATTCTGTTTTTAATCATTTGTATACGTGTCTGAATAAGATAATTATATGTCTGGTAACCTTCATGTTTTTGAACAGTACTGAACTTCTGAATTCGGTAGTTTGCCTGAATCTTTTACCTGAACCTACTGAGTTTCAGTTCCTCATTTCTTATATTCAACAGTATAATGTAAAGCCAGAGTGCTAACCAGGCTTTCTTAGAAGCTAATGTTTAAATCCTAGAAAGGCATTTCCTTCCACCACTTAAATAATTAGGCTGGTCTCATTGTAGTGAAAAGTACTTTAAAGTCTCGGAAACATCTGAAGTTCATCCTAACACTGCCTTGGCGGATATAACACACATTCCATTTACGGTTATTTTTCAAATGTTTCTGACTCAGGTTAGGCTGCCCAGGGACTGCAAAGATGCTTTTATCAGCCCCATCTTCAAAGTTGGAAACAGAAAGTTAATATCTCACTACCGGCCTATAAGTCTGACCTGCATTATAGCAAAGGTATTGGAAACACACCTAAGGGATCAGCTCTTAGCTAATATGGAGAAACATGGCTTACTGGCAGTGGAACAGCATGGATTCCGACCAGGACGATCCTACCTGACAAACTTACTGTTAGCTAGGGAAGATTGGGTCGAGGCCAGGGATAAGAACCATCTACTGGACGTTGTCTTTATCGATCTTAGTAAAGCATTCGATGAGGTATCCCATTTAAGTCTTCTTAGTAAACTCAAACGTTTTGGATTTGACCAACACTTATGTGAGTTGTTTAGCGATTACCTGATGGATAAAAGGTAGAAGGTAAGGGTTAATGGTGTACTGTCAGGTCGGAAAGTAGTACTCAGTGGAGTACCTCAGGGAACTCTACTTGGCCTCCTGCTATTCCTATTATACGCAAAATGAAGTGCCAAAAATTCTTACCTCATCTTCGTTACTATTCGCGGATGATATTAAGAAATGGAAAACCGTAAATAGTGACGATGATAGGTTGGTACTACAAAACGATCTGGATAAATTAGCTGAATGGGCTAACCTCTGGAGTCTGGAAGTTAATTCCAAGAACAACACGGTAATGCACCTAGGTCAGAAGTCTTACACGTCGCACTCCCAAGGACACACTGAACTGCCATATATTAAGGGACAAAAGTTCTTGGGAATTATTGTAAGCCATGACTTGAAAACAATGGCAAATTGTAATGGAGCCGCAGCTAAGGCCTTTCGAATGCTATGGGTACTTCGAAGGGCTTTCAAACGATTAGACGAGGGTATGTTCCAAGTACTCTATACAACATATGTCAGACCTCGTCTAGAATACTGCATACAAGCGGCGAGTCCATGCTTTGAAAAGGAGGCACATATCCTGTAAAGAATACAGAGGGTAGGAACCAAATTAGAGAGATAAGAGAATGGAGAATCTAAATCTCTTCCCATTATCATCCTGAAGGTGGAGAGGCAACTTAATTTTGGCTTACCGTATATGAAAGAGTGATCCAATTCTCTCCCTTTAGGATATATTTACGGGGTCACCACAAGGTGCTCAAACCGAGGTCGAACAAAATACGTGTGGAGTTTAGATTTTCTCACAGAGTGGTCAACGGCTGGAACTCCTTACCTGATTTGGTAGTAACAGCTCCATCGGTTAACGCTTTCAAAGAGAAACTAGATCTTTGCAGAGATATATATCGCAAGGATTACCATAGGCAATAAAAGCCTTCCATCCTTATAATCTGAATCTACTACAGGCCCAACCAACAAACATATATGTAAGTTATGATACACTCTTCGGTGTGTGCTACTACAACATTATTTTTATCTCATGAAAATGAAAACCCCTGTCTCCCAGTGGAAAATTTAAAGTTCGTTTCCATATATATTCACTCCAAAAGAAGTCCCGCCGTTAGGGCTCATTTGTTTCTTTAAATTCAACACAAAAGTTCAATTAGCCAATTCCATATTATTAGTACACGACATTCCGCTTTTTCATGGAGAACAGGTTGTTCGTCCTTTTCGTAAACAACACATTAATAAGAATCATTAGTGTTGTAATATTTCATACCATTGATAACTCATTTTATTATTTAGTTCATTTTAGAGAAGACTATCGTCTCCATTTGGGCATTGGAATGTAATGAATAGTGGCTGGCTAAAAAACTTAATCTATAGCTTCGCGCAGACCAGTCACATTTCGGTAAAGTGGTCAAAAAAAACGACGGAAGAAGTATGTAACGGTACTATAAAGGAAAAAAGTTGTTCGAAAAAATAATGTGATGAAGACGAATCTGATGACATGAGGTAATTACATCTACCTGTGAATAATTTACAATCGCACCCCTTAAGGAATGACTGATACATCAAAGTATAGCTGTGCTCGAAGATGAAGTACAAATCGCCACTCTAAGGAAAAGTATTGGAAGAAGCCAAAAAGGACTGTTGACTCAGATTCAGTGATAAAGAACAGTATACTCTTGTAAGATATGTTACTTTTGGAACTTATATTTCTTTAGAGATACAACTCCTCATAAATGGAGTCGATACCGATTGATCAAGTAAGGGGTTCTAGTTGTTGACCACTCTGTGTGAAAACATGAATTTCTCGTGTATTTTGTTCGACTGCATTTTAAACAACCTCTTATGACTAGGTGACAGAGGTAGCTTTAAAAAAGAGGAAAGGTTAGAAACTTCAGTACCCAAACCATTTATTACAGCATAAACCAAATTAATTCGCATCATCTTACGGATGTTAATGAAAAGAGGTTTGGATTTTCCATCCTCTTCTCATAAATGACGTGCGAAATACTTCTAACTATCCTGCTACCTACTAACTGTACTCTTACCAAGAATTCTAGCCCCTTGGAGCATAGATCAACTGCCTGTATGCAGTATTCAAAATGGGCTTTGACTGACTGATGCTTTCTGCGTGACCACAGAGCCGAGGGCACAACTGCTTAAGGGCAGTTTTTAGAATTGTGTCCGTTTTAGGACCACCGTACAGTAGGTCGGAATGTGAAATTTTCGGGTCGACCATTTCTAACCCCTGTTCTCCAAAGTAGAAAGGCAGCATAACTGGCATGCTGGAAATCTGAGGGTAACATCTTACTGCTGTTACATTCCTGTTCCCCAGCAGTACAACTTTTTCCACAGACCCCCAGCATAGTGTAAACATCTTATACTATACTACTTTTAGTCTAGTCGCATGGTGGGACCTCTGGGAACATTAGTTCTAACCAGTGTAGGTCGTTGGTCATTCCGATATGCAAGCTCGACCACCACTTCATGATAGCACCTATTAGTTGGTGTCTAACATATGCTCACAAGAGTACCTTAAACGTAATCTCATCTCAGCATTCAAAAGTCCTTCTAATTGTCCACAGTGTTCAGAAAGCCTTGGCTCCAGCTGTTTTTAGGTCATGACTGAAAGTAACTTCCTGATTCCTTGTCCTTTAATGTTGGGTAATTCTGTTTTCCTCAGGAGGTACGTCGAATAAAATTTCTAGGCTTGGCGCATCACCTCACTTTTAGGAATTGATTCCTAAACTCCACCGGTTGAACCATTTGTTTAGTGTGTCTGATTCATTTTGTAAGGTCAGGCTGTCGTTGTCATAATTACTTACGGTTCCCCAAGTCTTAGTATCGTCCGCAAATACAGACAAAGATTTTTGGTAGTTTGCTAATGTACATTAAGAACAGTAATTGGTCTGAAATCGTGTCCTACTGCACCCTCACTGCGAGAATATGTCACTTACTTGCCTGCCCGCTTGGCAGTCCGTAAACCAACCACGTAAGCTGTTAGCTAATCGGAACTCTTTTGGTCTACTGAGACCTAAATGAGGCACCTTACTGATTGCTTTACTAGAATCAATAAAAACTACATCAGTCAGCAGGTTACTATCCGTGGCTCCACATAATTTTTTCTTAGCCGTCAACAGATTCGTTAGACAGGATTGCCCTGGTGTGAATCTGTGCTGTTCCTCTTCCATTAGGTCATGTTTCTCCACATGAGCTAGTATGCGCTCCTTAACAATTTTCTTTAACACCTTAGCGACAATATATACTACACCTACAGGTCGGAAATATGTTACAAACTGCATGTTCCCCTCTACGGAGATGGAGCCTACAACTGCATCTTTCAAGTCCTTGGATAGCCTAGTCTGAGATACAAACATGGTGAATATACCTGTTAATGGCAACTATGCAGTTGCCACTGAGAAGAATAAGAACTTAGTGTGGAGCGTCGTAAGCCCTGGCGGCAGTCTTAGAGTCACAGCATTGTCTATTATGGTATAGAGAGTAACCTTGCAGAACTCATGTGTATTATTGCCTGATATGAAAAAATCATAGAAGTATTTGAAAGGGTTTTCAGCTGCCGTAAATATATTTTTATCATTTTCGGTATACCACCATTTATTTAAGTTCTACTTTTTGTATGTGATCGGTCTTGTGGGGGCAATATGGGCAGTCCATCATGTTTCATATTCTATACGACTTTTGTTACATATGGACTTGCAAAGCTTCCGAACTCTGTGATAAAATTACAATCGAGGGGAATGTCATCAAGAGTCTAAGCTATGATTAGTAGAATCTTGAGGACCCAAGTTATAGTTTCTTTGTTGGCATATCAAACAAACATTGGAATTCGTTTACAAGACTAATTAGTCAATGATTGGAATTTTGCTTTGTCTGTCAGTGATGAGATAGTATAACAAACCCATTTGCATAATGCATAGATACATTCATGTTCGCCAGTGCACATTTATACATCATCTCTTTCGTTGACTGGTGATGCTAGTTGACATAGGATTGGGTTGGAAAAGAGCTAGTGGTAGTCAAACCAGTCGGTCAGTGAAATCCATAACAGTTAGTTTAAACCACGTAAGGAGGTATAGACTGACTGCCTACCTGAGTGGAGTCCTCGGGATGTTAAGAACGAATGGCTAGAGACTATTGGTGGTGATATGGTCCAGAATCTTCGTTCTCGATGGCGCAGAAGCGTTCACTCTTTCTGACTTGTCACATCCAATAAAACTCTACCATTCTTCTATATTATTATTCCTTTTCCCTCACACTTCTGTTTATTATGTCTCCTTTGAACCTCTCTTTACACTCTCCTCTTGCTTTGTGTGGTACATGAAGGGAGTGTGGCAACTCGAACTGCTGCACATCTATGCATACTTCTATGTTGAAACCAGTCAGTCATTTATAAATCCTTTTGATCCTAGGAAGACGCAACTTAGTATGCTAGGTGGTAGTGTGTTTTAGTTGTAGTTTTGACGAGTAAGATTGAACTACTGAACTGAATTCTAAAGAGGTACGTCAACTGAATCTTTATTTGTGTAGGTTTTCATCCCGACAAACTATTTTCAGCCGGTAGTTTGGGTCCAGTGCGATTGTTCTTATTTTTCCTAAAGGTGTGTCAGTTGGTCAGCATATTTCTGTAGGCGATGAATCACACAGCTGTCTCAGGAGATCACAGGTGTAAGATAGTGCGATTCAGTTACTCAGATTCTTTAATGTATAAAGCTATAAACCTGACTTAATATGATGTGTTATGATGCAGGTTTGATCACGAGCTGATATCAATTAGAGAACCATTGGAAGGAACATGAAGTACGGGACAGCTGTTTCGTCCTAGTTTGGGGATCTTCATCAGTATGCACCTACCTGGGTTTGAACCCCGGAACTTTTCAGTGGTTACTCGACGACGACTGGTAGCTGCTCCATATATTGCGAATTGGCAGAAGTTGGAATGCATAGGCCAGTGGGTGAACGGTCTACGAGCTTGCCTTGTACCTGGGAGGTCCTGAGCTCGAACCTCGGTGGGCGTATACCGACGAGGAGTCCCAAACTAGGACGAAACATCTGTCCAGTACTTCGCGGTATTCTAGTGGTTCTATAACTGATGTCAGCTCGTTACCAATCAAATCACTACAAACCAACGCCTGAGAATAATGACATGACGTAAATGCTGAAGTGAAAGGCATAGTATTAAATAGGTAAACAATAATACAGACTAGCGTTTTAGTATTCTCTTGACAGTAATGCTACTAGTTAACTCATTATCGTGTAAAACGAATGGTGAGGTTTTTTCTACTGATAATACTTATTGTTAACATTTAGCACCTTCATATATCTAGCTGGATTACAAATCTATCCAGAGTTGCTCAATAGAAACGTAATGGCTGATAAAATCAATGGCTCTTGATAAATTTATCGTCCTTTACGCGGCAAGATGAAAAGTCCGATGTTTCGTAGTTCCCTTTGTGTTCTTATCATTGTACTTCTTTTCGGTTTTTTCTTATTAATAATTTCAAACAATGCTTAACAATGTACCAAAACTGAATTTCTTTTTCAGATCACCTTTCGGTATTAAATTCCTTTTGGATTATGAAAGCCCCTGAAAATTGTTCAGCCGATTGTCGTACTGTTATTGCTCCTGCAAATGTTCTTCTTGTTACAAGCATTTGTACCATTCTTGGAGGCATTGTTCTTGTCACGTTAGGCATTTGCTTCGGACTGACCAATGGTGGTCATAGTTCCCATTTATCTATATCGTATGTTGGCATTCCTATTATTCTCTCTGGTTGTGTCACCTTAGCAGTAGCTACTGTCAGAATTATCCATACAAATAAGGGACTCAACAGTATGAATCTGACATTATACGAATTTAAAAAACAATGGAGTCAAGAGGATTCCAGTTTTGAGTCTACATCCTTCAACGTTCAAGAAGGTGCTTGCAATTCATTCTCTTCATCGGTGTGTACACCTGCGAATAAATTCGATTCTGCTTCATTGAATGATGGTGATGAAGTAGAATTTCCGAAACAGTTGACAAATCATCAGCGATTGCCAATGCCGCCAAGACGAGCTGTATTGAATTAAGAGGATTTCAGGTGCTTTTGTAAGCTGAGGTGTCTTCTACCTATGTAAATGCTGGGTGTATTCGTTTGTAAATATATATACTTTGTGTCTTTCTCCAGAATCTTTATTATTATTATTATTTTTCTATCTTCTATGTTTTATGTGATATTAATCATTGATTAAATAAACTTTTATATGCGTTCTGTTTGTTTTAAGTTGAAGGAGGCATACTTAAACAAGCCAGCTAACTGACGTGTGTTTAAGTTGTCTTAACAGTAAGCGATCATTCTGACCTAGTTTCAATTGGCTCGCCTCACTGCTTAGTGGTATTTACTGTTAGGCGAAGTTGACTGAGTTAACAGAGCCTCGAGAATGGAGCATAATTTAATTTGTTCCGTGTACAGTTCTCATTGTGTTACAGTTTAAGTTATTATTTGTAAATAAGTTATTGAATTGCAATTATGAGTGTATCCTTGAAGCAATAGACATGTTAAGACAACAATACTACTTATTTCCTTCGGGGGGGGGGGAGATTGTATCCTTGGTCTATTGATTACTGCACAAACAACCGGATCATATTCTCATATTGAAAAAAATAATAAACGAAGTTCTGTCGATTGACCTTTATGCAATCACCCGGATACACAAATTGGGAGAGAGAGAGAGAGTTGAAAGACAGCCTTGGCTTCTCTTCTGATTGACGGATAGATGTAGGACTTTGCGCAGGAGTGGATTAGTTCAAGTTGCGGTGTATCGAGAGAGACAAAACAGAGGGAACATTATTCTGCATAGCATTGATAAGCGGGAGTATCTAAGTGATATTTCTGTTCCTCGAAGGTGATATGGAGTAGTGATTAGGTCAACGGCATGTGACACAAATTTTCCATCAGCAACCACGAAAATGTGCTAATATAATATGGGATCGAATGCTATGTACTTTTTTATACTAGGATGTAGAAGAATTCGTAATAGTGATAATTTGCTGTATTCTAAAAACAGTAGTTATGATACACTATGGAATTTTCAGCATTCGGTACAGCATTGCATCTAACTTACTCGACAACAGGAAAAACAAAATATAAAAATAATATTGCAGGATTGATAACAGAAGCATTTTTGGCATAAGCAGTGATAATGAAGTTAAAAATCTACAAAAAGTGTAAAATGATGATAATAGCTAAATTATGAGTTAATTGAAATAGTATCGCCTTAGAGAATAAAAGAGCCAAATATGGTATCCTTGAGTTTCTGTACTTGGTTCTACGAGCAGATATTCGTTTATAATGGCTTGTAGTTCCACCTGATGCGATACAAGGAAGGGGATAGTTGAGAATAGGGAGAGGGGGTATATGCAGTTCAGACAAAATGGATTCGGAACATTCGTTACACAAGTCCAGGTGTCTGTCAACTACTGTAGTAACAAGCTGACTAATTTGATGAACACTACTCGTCCTACTGACAACCTTCAATACCCTGTGCAGTATTTTTTTATTTTATGACGTCACCCTTTTTGAGTGGCCCAGATAAGACTACGAGGGTATTAAATAACGATAGGGAGCTAACAAATTGTAAAAGTAGAAGTCGAGTCACTCCAGATTGTCTTAACTTCTTAATGTAGCAGGTTAGGTAGATAGATATGGGATGACTAAGGAAAGGCAGAGGATAGAATTATGCCATGGCATTTTATGCTAGACTTAGTCTCTATTTTGGCACCCCCTATGCTAAAAGCGTCGTGTGAACGAACCAGTTCTTGTAGATCATATTTCTTTTTGAAGGTGAATTTAATTATCTGACATGCAGAAGGATTCAAGATAAAACTGTTTAGCTTGGACCACTGACTGATATCCGATAGAAAGCTGTTAGGTTTGAAACAGTCAGATCTAGAAGTAACTGGCAGCGAGACAGTCAGATCATCGTCAGTGTATTTGACGAAGTTGATTTCATCCGAAAGAGTCGTGTCGTGTAAGAAGGGATAAAAAAGAAAAGGACAGATAACAACACCTTGAGGGACTCCAGCTTCAGTAAGCAGGCAAAGCAGAGGAAGATTTACGGTTATGTACTATATACAGAAATGTGCTAGAGAGATAAGAATGCAGCCAGTTGACACCACAGGACCCAGTTTGTGTCAGAGGAAACTTATTTGACAGAAGGCATCTAGGCACAGAGTGAAAAGCAGATGTATAGTCAAGGAAGGTAGGTATATCGGACACATTCGGCCCCTTTGTCATAGGGGAAACAATATTACGATCTAAGACAGAAGTAGCACCATCTAGAGTACTGCTGTGTTTGTAAGCAAACTATTTGGGGTCGTTAACGTCTTTCAAAGTTGAGTAAGAGTAATTTCTCTATTAATTTCAAAATAGAATAGGTAGTCGGCATTGGTTCAAATTAAGGATTAATACCAGAACGTGATCTGGGTGCCGGTATAATTTTAATGTCTTTCCATAAGGTAGGTACAACATAACTGGGAAAGGAAGCATTGAAAATGTTCGTAAGGAGATAACATGAAGTATCAGCACATCTAAGGACAAAAGCAGATGCATCATCTGGACAAAGGTTTTAGAGGTTTCGGATATTTGAGAACATCAGCAGTGTTAAAACCTTCGAAGTCACTAACATTTTTATTTGCTACATTAGGAAAAGAAGCATCACTAGGAGGGTGTCTGAAATACTTGTTGGTTAGTTTACATCAACAGAGGGAACACTAATACCCTGCTTACCGCTACCAGTAATCTCGTTGAAAAATATCCACATGTTTGCGGGAGTTTTACATGGCAAAAGTCTTTGGCTATGAATAGTGTTCAGTCTTTAGATTTCAGGTTAGATCAAGATGTTGATCATTTTTAGACGAGATTTGTCTTTAGACTTGGACAACTGCTGTTTTTCTCTGCGTAGTTTTTTGAGATGAGGAGAAGAGAAACGGTCAAGTCTTTAGAATGATGTCTGTGTTAGGGCAATATACGTCTAGGCAGGTAATCAGTTATATCATTGACACTATCATCTAGTGCGTGCTCAGTACATAGTTAACAGTTAGTGTCATTCAGCATGCATCGAAGGTTATGTATATTGTCCTGTGAGTAGCAAATCTGTTGCGTTTTCTCGGAAAGGTGTTAAAAGATAACTGTGTGCGACTTGCCGTGTATTTTAGGCAACACTCGAATAATGCAATATGCGTCGGTGGCACAGTGGTTAGGACTCTCGCCGACCATGCACATGGTCCGAGGTTCGATCCCCTGCCGACGCACACCCGATATCTATGGTCGGCCTGCAAAATTTGGGCTACCGATATCCATGCTGAAAATTCCATACTTGTACCAAAAATACGGTGTGGAATCAAGCTGTAATCAAATTAAAAAAAATGATCTGATATCGATATTGGAGCACGTTTGCATTCTGCGCATATTCCAACATCATTGGTGAACACACCAAGACAGGTGTTTAATGAGGTCGAGTAGCAAAGTTGACAATGTTTACATGACCCAGTGATTGAAGGAAAGAACAGTCGCAGGAATTGAAGTCATCAGTGACTACTGATAGACAGTTCTCAAGATGAGTAGCAGCAAATATAGTGAATTCATCCGCAAAATTTGATAGATCCGAGAGGGAACAGCCAGGAGTAACGTGAATGTGTGAGGTAAAACTGTGTTTATGCTGTGATAAGTATTTGGGATGACATTTGACTGTATTACAATCGATAAATTCACTCGAGAATGAAACTGACCACTGGAAATAAATGAAAGCAGCAACTCCACCGCCACATTTCTCTCTGGAGTAAAGTCGATCTTGTCTGAATTGTGTAAAATCATTTAGTGAGACCAGATTGTCATCATAAAGCTCATGGAGCCATACTTCTAATGAAAACAGGAACGGTAGTACAATGGGTAGTTGTTTGTTGTAGTGCTCGTTGCCATATACTGTGATGCTTTTTCTTAGCTTTGTTAGAAACCTGAAAGTCACCTGGTCTTAAACATTTTAAAAATTCACGAGAGTAAATAATACTGTTCGACGCCCTACTTTGAGATATACAGACAAATAAAACGCGATAAATTAGAGGCAATATATTGATGGAAGTTTAGGTAGCCCAACGTTGAAACAGGCCAACTCCATGTAAGCTATGAAACAGTCACCAAGCAATGAACTAATTAGAAACAGCATAGTTACTCTCTTCTCTCCGTGTATATATTCAATAAATAAGTAACTGAGCGTTTGATATCTCAATTTGAACAAAATTAGTGGGTGTACCAGTACTCAGACTGCTAGAATGAACAGATTTATCGAAAAGCATAGGTTTGCCCTGAGTAATAGCATCTAGCAAGCCTACTACAGTGCTGAATTAAATCTCACTAATTCTGAACTAACTCTAACATTCTGAATCTGTTCTGAAATGGTGTGATCAAGCACACACAGATCAGAACTCAGTGCTGGTCTTCACCATGACTGGCACTAATTCAGCATCCTGTTCATTTTCCAGGCATTTTCAGGAGTAGATCAGAACCTACTGGGTCTGCTTATCAGCGTTGTTTCAGTCTTCACACCACATATTCAGCAGTGACTAGCATAACTTAAGAACGAAAAGACTGCTGGCGCAATTCATTCAGTTTGCAGAAAGAAATCAGTTTTTATGATTAGGAGAATTTTATATTTAAATAAGCAAATAAATGAATAAATTTATTCTCATAGTACAGTACATAAGGGACGCCAGTTTACAGACATCATCAAATTGCCACAGAAATAGAACCATATAATTCAATCACGATTTACAGGCAGTAGGAAGATATGCTTTACGTGTTCGCTGGAGATTATACATACACTTGATAAATGTTAATCCCAGTAGTATAAAACAGCCTTTTCACTTATATACAATCATTTCTGTGCACAGTTGGAAAAATCTGCTAGATCGTCAGTGAGTGCAACACATCAGGAAATACAGAAGTATTGTCTTCGCATTAACAAAAAAAAACCAGGTCTTTGGTGGATGGATTATAAGTGCCTGGGGAAAAAAAATAAAGCTTGAAGTCAATTTTCACACATAACTTCGTTGTGTGCAGAATCCTCGAATGATAGTTCATTGATGTGTTATTTTGAAATCAGTGATGTGTTTATCTCATTTGATCTGCAATGTCATTGTTGGGAGTAAATACATAAGCTTCAGACGCATTAATTAATGGATTTCTACTGCTTGTGGGTATTTTCTTAGCGTG